ATTTTTGAGTGTGGAAATCTTAACGTGAAATTATAATTGTGGTTTTTACGTTATACTCATCAAAACATGTTAAGTTTAACTACTCATCTAAAATATGTGACCTCTGAGAACAACGTCAATAAATCGTCATCATTTGCTTATAAACTTGCTGAAACTACTGGTTATAATGGAGATGACCACCTCTAAGACATAATCGTAGTAAACATTGTTGTGAGGGACCAAGTGCACTAACTGGCTATTTGAATATTCTCTCCCAACTGCTTTTGTTGCTCCCGTTCATCTCAAGTATTCTCGCTGTACGACATAAGCGTTACGGTTATATTAACTTAAATAGTGCACGGGAAATACAACACTTCTCTTACTCCCTTATTAGTAATAAATGTAAAGTGTCTACCTGATACTCTTAGTTGCAGGGATGCTGATATTCTCTATGTTAGCGCATATTCTAAACGGTATTGATGACATTGTTTCGATAATGAAGACTTCTCGGTATTCAACGCGTTACACACTAGAGAATATAACGGTTACTGGTTTTAACTTACAAAATTCTGCAACACAGTTGTTAAGAACAAGAGAAATAGTAATGAGATACTTAAAAATGGAGGTCTAATACTTTGAAAAACATCAGTATTATTTTTAACTGTATTACATAGTTGTGTAGCGAATGCAATGCTAGAGCTGTACTTCTTTGGTGCACTAGTTATTTCCATTTTTATTGGTTTTTATATCATAATGATCTTTTAACTTAACACTTTGTTGAGTATGTATGTCGTACTGACTCGACGGTAACTAAATATATTTATTGATGGTGTTTCGGACCTTCTGAAACTATTTATTGAAACTTTGTTTTGCGTCCACTAGGTATAACTGATGTTTTGTTCTCATTATTCCACATTCTGCTGATTTATAGCGGGAGATCCCTATATTTGCTGTTCTTTTCTATTTCTTCTTGAGGTTTTAAGTTCTTAGCAGGTTTTGTTTTTCGTACAACATCGGTTCAGATTTTTTTATCCAATAATCATTATTGTCGTATTTTTAGTAATTGATACTTTATTATTTTTGCGAGTAGAGAATATTTTCCACTTTCCATATCTGGTACATAAAGGTTTGTGTTATAATTAGAAATCCATTTCTCCCTTTAATCCTGAGCTATTTATCTAGCAGTAATTCATGTTAGAACTCGTTGCTGTATTAAGAATATATGTTATGCAGAGAACTCATCATTTTTTTCTTTGTCGTTACATCTATGTGATTCGGCTTCCCTAATTGCATTACTCATTGTTTTCCATTTTGGTTTTGTTTCGCTTCCAACTTCAATTTCAAGTTCAAGCAACTTATTCAATTGATTAACTTTCTCTATTATGTACGAATGCGTTAGTATAATCAGTATAATCTAGTGCTACTGGCAGTTCAAGCATATCATCTCCAGATGCTCGTCCAGATTGACCAACATGTTCATTGAAATCACGTCCTATATTACTCTCTCCTGTGCTGGAATATATCAGAAGTACGGTCCGTCCCAAACCCTTTTTTCAGTGCGTCATAGTTGTTCGAATTCTCTCTAACGCATTAAGCTAGAAGTGACAGAAAAAAACGTGAGTCGCTTATTATTATACATAGAAATTAGAAAATTAGGTATCGTTTACGGGTATTCGCATATTAAAGCGAATTCTACTTACGAACGTATAATTGGTTGGAGTTTAGAATATGCTAAATAGATATCCAATCAATTATGCATATAAATATAATTTGACACAGATGATCTTGATAATGACAGTGACAGTACTTTCACAACAACTGATAAAATGATAATTGCCATTCCAGGTTAGTATTTTCAGACATTTTAACTACAGTGAAAATTAAATTCTGTATTTATTGTCATAAAAATATTTTAAATATTCCGAGATATACCGAGAATGAAAAAAGACTAATATTAAAATTATTAAATTAGTTTCAATTAGAAAATGAGGCTGAGTTATCTTTATTTCAGTTTCTGTCGCTCGCGAATCAGATTGTGAATTCCGGAATGATATTGAGGAAATATCTTAAACTAATACCTTTATGGATATTTATATGTATTAAAACGGTTCTTTTTAGAACCACGACATTTTCTTGAAATGTAGGATATAATTGATACCAGCCACATATCTAGTGTAATCATTGATTTTCAAGAATCAGATTCTGAATGGGATTATAGATTGTTTGAAATATAATATTCATTTTTGTTATTCATAAAAAAGAAGGTAAACTTACATTCTGTATCTTGTTTTTTAACTAAACTCCATTAACACGATTTCATCTGGATATCGGAACTGGTAGATTAACTCAAGAATCAACTGCTTCACTATTTAAACTATTTATATTGTTTTTTTAACTAAACTTTATAACCTTCTTTCATTTGCACACCAAATCTGGTAGAATAACTCAAAAATCAACTGCTTCACTATTTAAACTATTTCCACTATTTAATGACAACTCTTCACAAAATTAAACTATTGGCTGCCACACAAACTTATCAGAAAATTCCTTATCCAAATATGACTGATTTAAATCGATATTATTTTATCGCAGGAATGTTTACTTTGATGCCTTGCAATTGTCAGTAATTTTTTTTACCTTGCAGTCAACTCTTAAAAGATTCTAGGAGGAAGCGTTATTTTAAATAAACAAACCTTCCAATTCCCTAGTGTTTGTAATAAATAATAATAAATCCATAAACAAATCTTAGCTAATTAAGCACTTTCCATGGAATGTATAAAATAGAACAGAATAGAATAGAATTATGACAAACTGCTATGCATTAAAAAAAATAACCTTTTCACGTTTAGCCGATTACGATCCTGCAACTGTCAGATTTAACTAAAATGTCATGCAATAATTCTCGACATTCTTAAAATCCTATATGACGTCAAAATTAGTGACGCACTGAAAAAAGGGTTTGGGACAAACTGTATGTCTCCTAATATATCATAGAACTTAAAAAGAAAAGATGTCTTAGAGATAAAAATATGAAAGACGTCTTAAAATTTTGATATCAAGCAACCCAAATAGTTACGGTATCAAAAGGATTGAGCTCTGGGAGGACTATTTCTTATCGAGTCCTAGGTGACCTGATATTTCCCACACATTTTCTCTAACGCATCTGGAAGTTGCTAGCAGTACAGATGTTTGCATTATTTTCAGAGATCTTCACTAAGATCCAGCTATTTTATACTGTTTAGGAGGTTCTTCGGATTGGCACCAATGGTATAGAGTATACAGGATAATAAATATCGAGAGGAGAATTATTATTTCCCTTTCAATATTATTATTACATGTTTCCTTCCCCATTCGTTTTCCTTTTGAAATCCTTCTTATTCTACATGTCTCTTTTTTTGTCGGATTCAGTATTTTAGATTAATTACTATTTAACTGGGAATAAGCCACAATTAAAGGTTAAAATACGTTTATTGACGTTTCAATTTTCACTTCGGAAATCGGTCTCAAAATACAAACAGTAAATTTACTGTCACTTGGTTTATTTATAAACAACACCCTGTATATCGTACCTTTATTAAAATCTCTACTTCAATACCAGTTCAACTTCATAAGATACTTTTAATTTTATGTCAGGAACGTATGAAAAGATAAAAAAAAGTCTAAAATGGCTAACCGTCTCAATAAATTTTTTTATTCAAACTCTGTACAACTAAATTTGAACATAATAATTAAAAGTTTACTACATTGCTAAATTAATGTCTACCTAATCAAGTGTTCACAATGTCCTCCGTTGTTAATATGACAATATCCTAAACGATCGATGGTAGAATGCGTCTATTACATTTCTCCATGTTTCTCTAGAAATTAATATGGATTCATCGATAATTCTTTCCCTTAATTCCCCAACAGTTGCTGGTTTAGTTTTTTAAATTCTAGTTTTCAAGTATCCAATAGATATAATCATTATGGTTCAAATCGGGTGAACGAGGAGGCCATTCAATACTACCTAATCTACAATCCATCGTCCGAGAAATGTTTGATCTAAATAACGCCGAATATTTACTCCAAAATGAGCTGGAACTTCGTCTTGCTGAAACCATATCTCATTAAAATTGGCTCCCAACTTGTTTTTCAGGGCAGTACAATTTCATTTTCAAGTAGCATTTAGAGGGCATACCCAACCCGATCATAAATTAATTTGTTGTGGTCTTTGAGTATGGTTTTCACGTATCCAGTGTAGATTTACCTCACTGCGATACCTTAAAAATACATTTCCACGCAGTGTAAATATTGCTTCATCGGAACAACATAACTAGGTAGTTAACGAAATCTGTCCAGTAAGTGGGGATTCCAATAATAATTCAATATCCAGAGGGTTGTATTAAAAAAAAACAAATTGACTAATGATATCAGATAAATGGTAAATATGGCAACATTGCAAGCATCAAATTTGAAATCTTCATACAGCAGAATAGGCACTTTTGGTCCAGTCTGTGTATATAATATTGTCTTGATTCAGGATCAGAACTGAATGTAGTTATCTCACCTTATTTTTGACATTTTTATCATTTTCTACCTCACTTTTAATGTGGCATATGTACTTGTTTTCTTTTGTACCATACCAACCTTACATTTGGTAAATTAATCATGAAACAAAATGTGACTATTTAGATTTTCGTTCGAAATAAACAGTAAACCCAGTTAAAAAAGATTGTTGGTGGTCTTCTAATGCATGTAAAAGTTTGTTATGGTGGTCTAATTTCATCACATTTACATTTTAAACTGGGGCAATGTATTTATCTTATTTATATGCAAATAAAATACTGTTTAATAGATTATGTAAATTTAGGCATTATATTTTTATATATTCATTTCGATGTACATCCTGGTTCACGTTACAATCTAAGGGGACGACAACAACACCATTCATGTGTGCAATTTTTGGCGGCTGATTTGCTTTCATTTGGGCTTTACTATAAACATATTTTTAATATAATTACACTTTTTTGTTTTATTTACAGAACCTGGAACCGCCCCTAGAAATGTACAAGTACGACCTCTGAGTTCAAGTACTATGGTTATACAGTGGGATGAGCCTGAGACGCCTAATGGGCAAGTTACGGTGAGTAGTGGTGATAACAAAAAATCTGTACCAATTTAGTTGTAACAGAAAAAAATCGAGGAATATTCAGAAAGTAACTATACAGAGAGTATGTAACACACACGTTCTTTTCTTTTTGGACCGAAAATGGATTTGTTGGTCAATTGCGTCAAAAGCTTCAAAACGGTTATTGATATTAACTTTCTTCTTCTTCTATCTTTAATTAGATAATTCTGCGTGTTTCTGTTTTCTTTGGCCTTCATGTTATATTGTTATTACCATCTTGTTCGTGGTCGGTCCACACTTCTTCTACCCTACAGATATTTGTCTCTTGCTGTCTTGACTACTTTATCGTCTGTTATTCATCTTATATCTTCTTCTGTTTATGTACACATGATCCTCTCTGTTTTTCAATATGCTTTCAGTAAATTGTCGTTCCATCGTTTTCGTGGTCTTCCTACTGATCGTCTTTCTATTGGAGAACCGTCTCTTGTCATCTGTACTACTCTATTTGTTGTCATTCGGCTTATATGATCGTTCCATTCTACTCTTCTATTTCTTACTCAGAAGTGTTTTCATCTTTGCTCTTTCTAACATCCTTTTGGCCTCTCTGTGTCAGATCGTGTTTCTGCCGCGTATATCATTAGTCTGATGAGTGTTTTGTTAATTCTGCCTTTTATTTATTTCCCGATATTTTATTTTTCCAAATTGTTTCATTCAGCAACTTGCGGCATTGTTTGCTCTATTCACTTGATGTTCCCTTTCTGTTTCGAGCTTTCCTTAGCTGTATAATGTTTCCATCTTAGTAAATTTACTGTTATATCCATGCATTTTGTCCTCTTTGGGAGAATTAACATGTTAAATTTTCTGGAGGTTATATTAAATTGGTACAGCATACGTTATAAACCATCTTCACTTTGAGAGATTAGTATTGCGTCGTCTACATAGCAGATTATTTTTAAGTTGTTTTTCTCCCATTTGATATCCTTTTTTAGTTCTTACTTTTTTTTATTATTTCATTAATAATCAGGTTGAACAATAGAGGACTCAATAAATTTCCCCGTCTTATCTCATTGCCAGCTTCAATACGGTCAGTTAGTTTTTCTTCTATTTTTATTGTATTGTTTAGTTAGGTATGGTCCATTGTTTTGATTATTCCTAAAGGTATCTCTCTTGTGTACAAAAAGTCCTTTTCAGAAAAAAAGGATAACGTCCTTTAATTTGACCCGATCAACTGCCTTCTTAAGGTCTACGAAACATAAATATGCCGTTTTCTTGCATTCTAATGATTTCCATAAATCTTTGCCAAAATCGTTGCCTAAATAGTTGAGTTGCATAATCTCTTCAATGCTGGTTCCGTCAATTTTTATATCACATGTGGTCAATTCTGTGCTGATGACAATTGTTTTCGTGTTCTGAGCTGAAATGACTGTGCTTCTTCTTTCTTGCTATTATGTTGAATTTATGGACCAATATTTGTAAGCCCATTTCCAGAATTAATTAATTTTCTATTAGTTAATATAGCGACTCCTTCGTTAGTTCGTATTTATTTTGGTAGGCAGCTGTATCATCAGGTATAATACTTGTCTATTATGGTTTGGCCATAATAGACAACTATTATACCTATATTAATATTATATTTCTTATTATTTCTTGGATAGCACATATGTCTGTATGTGCCTTAGTCAGTTCTTGTTCTCTTGTATTCAGGGATTTGATGTTCCAAGTGACTATCTTTAATATATTATTTTTTTCAATTGATTTCAATTGATTGTCCGGTTAATTGCATTGGCCGTCCTTAGTAAATCCTCCCTGTTTATCCAATGCACATCATTGGTTATATGAGCACTGCTGTATTTATAGTCCTCAGATAGGGTGCTAGTCTGATGACTTCTTCTTTCTTTATCCGGTCTTGGGACCGGTAGTAATAGTTGATGGGCTTCACTCACCAACCGCCCCATGGGTAGCAGATATTAACTTTAATTATCGTAAAACATATTTTGAGATATACATGTACTATAAATATCAATAAAATAAATTAATTTTTCGCTATTTGGCAAGTATTATATTCTTACTTTTTGGACGTCTATCTCAGATTAACTTATGGGCCAATAAATAAACGTGAAATACGGCGATACCGTGTAATTTTCCTTGTCACCACCGAATTGCATGAAAATTTGGATCTAGGTTCTGCTTACCCTCCACTTCACTTTTGGACTTGTGCCGTTCCTTTTTATTTTTTAGGGGTGAAAACTATCGCTATTAGATAAAAATCGTATAATTGTAAATTAAAGACGGAATTTGATTTCAATTATATTTGAATGAAGTGAACGAATATCAATTAATATTAAATAAGATATTTTAAGAATTTATCACAGTTTAACCCCTAAATCGCACGCCGTAGAATAGTTATAATTAAAACAATTAATTATTTGCATGGAAATTTTAATTTAGGTTATACTTACTCTCTACTTCAAAATTATACCTGTGCCGTTGGTTGCAATTTATTTTTTAGAGATCATAACTACCCCTATTAGAAAAAAATCATATAATTGTAAATTCAAGCAATTTGGAATTATTTAATATACGCTGACTTTAAATTTAAATTTCTTCACTGTTTTAGTTGTTTGCCACATAAGTTCTACCCTTAAAAAATCACCCCTAACGAAGAAATTCGAATAGTTGTAGTTTTTTTTTTCATTGAAACTATAATACAATTATTTTTTAATCAAAATATTAATTTATTTTATTTCAACTTAAAAAACAACCCTCATTTGGTTTTAAGGTTGGATGAAAGTATGTATGTGCTTTAATAGCACATTATGTGTTTTAGGATTTTTTAATGGCAATAAGATCATTTAAATTAATTTTTTAACCTTTATTTTTGAAAGGGCTGTAGTTGGAAGGGGTTAAACGAGTTACTAATTACGAGTGTAATCAAACTTTGAATAGCCATATCTTTTCTTTGAAAAACCAATTTTTGTCTTACAGAAAAACAAAAAAACTCACATCAGGATTTTTTGTATTACTTACTAAAAATTTTTTAATTATTTTGAAAAAAAAAGACCACCGTTTTCAAAATTTCAAAAATCTTTTTTAATTTAAACCTTTTTTTTTAAACAAGTACGTTGAAGGGGTGATTTTACGATTTTTTTACCAAAAAAGGGATCCACTTTATTTTGAACTCGCTTAGTTTTGATGCTAGAAACTTACAAAAAAAAGAAAAATAAACCTTTAAACACTTTAAAAAGTTTTTATGAGTTTTCCCTGAAAAGTGCTTCATTGATTTGGTTATTTCACGTTGGAATATTTGATTTGGAATTTGACAAATAAAAACTACTTTTCATGAGCTACAACTCTGCTTCTACCAGTTCTACAGACTTTATAATAATAATATACGTTTATTCAAATCCATAAGTATTACATTAATTTACAATTTCAATTTCAGTTTACTTACAGTAACATAAACGTAAAAAAAGTCTTTAAACATTAACATGCTTGTTGACTTAAGCTGTCTAATATTAACAGGTTTAATGTTTTTTTACAAATTATTATTTCATGTTTACAGTTTCTAATCTAATCTAATTTGTTTCGTTTTTTTTTTTTATCTAGTATAATTTAAATTTATTAAATTGTTACACAACTCCCTTTTTTCTTTTACCCAAGCATTAACTAATTTTTTATACAAATAAAAATTTTTGATATTTTTAAAATTTATGGGCAATTGATTGTATATTCTTGGAGCAAAATATTTAATTGACCGTTGCGTGATTGTTTTTGAAGTATGAAGACATTCAACATTCAATTTTCTTCTTGTTTCATAATTTGACACTTTTACTTTAAGAGGTATTTTATCTTTATGAATATTTTTAAGTAGCTCTAAGCAGTACAATTGCCGAACATCAAGAACCTGAGTTTCATGAAAAAGTTGGTCTGAGGGATATGTTTTTCGTTTTCCATATATTAGTTTAAGAAACCATTTCTGAGTATTTTGAAGGGTCACCAGATGGCAATCAGCTACGCCACCCCATCCTAAAATCCCATATACAAGATGAGATTGTACTAAAGACAGGTAAAGCATTTTAAGCTGTTCAACATCTAACTCTATAGATATAGATCTATAGATAACTACACTATTTTTTTGCTCTTTTATAAGCTATAATTTTGTTAAGAGTATTTTTTTTTCGATAAAATACTTACTTTTTGAGATATTTGTGAAAAACGGTCTGAAAACGTGTTTTTTTTTAAACATGAACATTTTCACTCGTAAATAATTAAAAAAGCATTGACTTGGTGAAAAATTTCCGTATGTAGTTTATAATATGTTTTTCACCCCCGAAAAGGGGTGGCTTTCACCCCCAAAGTAAAAGCAACTCTGGGCACAATTTCAAAAGTGAAGTAGAGGATAAGAAGAACCTGAATCCAAATTGTCAATCAAATCCATCGTGCTGAGGAAAATTACACTCCCAAACGGTCATTTACTGACGTATTAGATAAGTTTATTTATTTACTTTTGTAATCTTATACTAATCTAATAAAAAAATGTATGTAGGGCTACAAAGTATATTACACAACAAATGCTCAGCAACCCATGGCTCAGTGGGAGTCCCAAGTAGTGGACAATAACCAGTTGACTACTATCAGTGAGTTAACTCCTCATACTATCTATACAATACGTGTCCAGGCCTATACCTCGGTTGGTCCCGGACCTTTGAGCGCACCAGTTCACGTCAAGACTCAGCAAGGTTTGTACGAAACAATAAATTTAGTTTATAAGTAAAATGACTCCCAGCAGTTTTTTTTACATTAATATTAAATTAAAATAAAACGTTTTTTTTTTCTTTTGGTAAAATCGTAAAATGTAAAAAATCAAGATAGAAAAAAAAAAGAATAGAATAGGGTTCACTAGACTACGTTAAAGGAAATAAAAATCAAACGTAATAAATATTATAACTCATTTCTGAACTTAAAAACGGATCAAAGTAAACACGAATACCAAACAGCTCAAAGAGAGATACGAACGGCAATAACCAAAAAGAGAAATGAATTCTGGAAGAAAAACTGCTCCAGAATTAACACTTATCTGGGAAGTAGCAGAAGTACCAAAAGCTGGAAAGTACTTAAATCTCATCGAAAAGAAAAGACTAAAGATATCATCCCTCCTATTAGCTTACAAGAATCGGACGAATACTTTGAAAAACAACTGACGGAGGAAAGGACAGAACACTACAAACATATTCTTATGTACAAGTAAATACAGTAGAATCCCCACTTACGATTGACAATAGAGAAGTAAAACAAGTATGTCAAAGTTAAAAAACTTCATAAAAATCATTAGGTGCGGTAATATCACCCGAATTATTTTGATACGGGATCGACAGCATGTATCAAAAATGTATAAATGGAAAGAATGTATAAGAGTGGAGATCATCGGTTATATCAATCTTACATAAAAAAGGGAACTAAAGACATATGTGACAACTACCGAGGAATAGCAATGTTAGGCACTAGCTCGAGAGTTTTCACAGAAGATTGATAAAAAAAGAGAATAAATGGACAATACAGTGATATGGGGGTCGAGGAACAGGCTGGCTTCAGAGCAGGTAGATCGACAATTGACCATCTTTTTATGATCACCCAACTTCTAGAAATAAAAACGACACGAAACCAAGCGATACACCTACTATATGTAGATCTTCGAAAAGCATACGACACTGTACCACAAGGAAAACTATCGAAGCTTTATAAAAAACGAACATCAACGTAACTTTAATCAAGGCAGTGCAGGAACTCTTTGTTTAAGGTCTACTTGGAGTAAGCGCTGAAGACATGAAAAAAGAAATGTAGTGGTATGGGAATCCCTCTAAACGACACCACATCGTACTCACTATGCTTTGCAGGCGACCAAGTAGTCTTGGTTGAGAACTGCGAAGATCTAGAATATATGACATGCAAAGTTGTCCAGTAATAGTAGAAATGGGGCAAAAAACAGAATACATGTGGATAGGAGGAGAACAACAAAATCTAATTTTGGAATAGCAACAAATAAAGTATTGTATAATGTATAAATATATAAATGGCGGCAATTTGGATGAAGAGATCAAACAAAAAAATATCCAGGGAAGACTAGTCACTCGTCAATTGCACAGCATTCTGTGGGATAAAACAATTTCGAAACAAAATACAGATTCTATAATAGCATATGGAAGCGAAATATGGCCACCGAGGGAAAAAGCCATAAAGACTTTGGAAGCAACAGAAATGGATTATTGAAGGAAAGCGGCCGGTAAATCGAGATTAAACAGAGTAAGAAACGAGAGAATTCAAGAAATCGTGGGCGTTAAACATAGAATAACAGAGGACATCAAAATCAACCAACTATGATGGGACCGGCACGTACAAAGAATGAATGACACTAAAATTAAAAAAAAATAATAAAATGGACACCGTAGGGACGACGAAATATGATCAGACCGATATTAATCTGTAGAGAAAGAGAAAGAAGAGAAAGAATCGTCAAGGATATAAAAGCAAGAGGAATAGAGAACCTTTTAAATGACGGACGCCAAGGGAAATTGGAAACCAGAAAACAGGGAGGAACGTTGTAAGCATATATATATATATAAGTATATGTGTGTGTGTGTGTGTGTTTGTATGCGTTTAGGGTTAACTAGACTTCTTCTATGCAATTGGTGCTTAAGGAAAAAGTTTTGAAGAAGTAGAAGAGAAACTCAAAATTGCTTTAAACATAATGGCTGCATACTATCTACACAATTCTTTGAGACCCAATATGTTTAAAAAACAAGTATGTGTTTTCCCAAATCGCTCAAATGATGCTTAGTGAAAAGTCCAAATTGCGTGTAATGGCTTTACATTAGAACGCACAGACCAACATCTTCTAGTGACTCTTAGCCGGTGCTCCACTTACAGACAACTGCGCTTAATGGGACATGCAGCATAGTAACGGGATGCAAGGACGCCACACTTAAATCTATATAAAGCAGCAGGTTTTACAGATCCCTCAACACGCAGACATGTAGCAGATCTCAGAGAGAAAATTAGACAAGCACACAAAATTATAGCGGCATTTCTTATAAGCTCGAACACCATGAAAGCGACTGAAATTCAGGAAAAGTTTCATTGGAACAGTGCAGGATTAACCGCTCGAATATTTTCCTATTTTTCAGATTCAGTAAACCGGCAATCCCTAGAGCTTATAAGAAAAAGTAAAGAAAAAATAGGCCAAGATGATGTAAGCTGTGACTATGGGGAAATACAAAATATGAAACATCTTCTTACATGCAGAAACTGTACTCATCAGTGTACCCTAGAAGGTTTCTGGCTCGCCAACAAAGAGAGAATCGACTTAGCGCGATATTGGGCCGAAATTATCTGAATGAAATATCAGGACACTATAAAGTAAAGTGTTCGGATCAAATTGCTAAATCTTACAACAAATTATCTATAATGCGTCATTTGTTTATGTGGTTTATTATACTATAACACATGAGATAATATATTGTTGATCACATGTTATATAATCAAAAGTAACTAGATTTTTTTGATTTGGTATTTGTATATTTTTGTGGTTCAAATAGACCATTATTTTATTTGCCTAGTGGTACTTCTCGTACTAGAATTGCAGTTTTATATTAATCTTTTTATGCAACAATGTAGGTGTTCCAAGCCAACCAAGCAACCTCCGTACATCGGACATCGGTGAAACATCAGTCGTTCTTCAATGGACGAAACCCAGTCATTCCGGAGAGAACATAGTTAGCTATGAGTTGTATTGGAACGACACATACGCCAAGGAAAAGCACCACAGGCGTATACCGATCTCGGAATCTTATACGCTATCAGGTCTATATCCGAACACACTGTATTACGTGTGGTTGGCAGCTCGGTCCCAAAGAGGAGAGGGGGCGACCACCCCTCCTATACCCGTGAGAACGAAACAATATGGTAAGACCTTAGGAAGTGACAATAACTCGCATATATATTTAAATAAAAAGAGACTCTATCTAGAAATAACGAAGGGTAATATATAGTATTTTGTTTGATGGCATCCCTCATGTCATTCAGGCATATTTTATTTTATTGTATACATATAATACCTGAAGTTACTTACTGAAAGAGTCATTATTTATTGATTTAATCTTTTCTAATAACGATTTCTTGTGTGTAGTAGTTGTTGTCATTTAATAAGAAACAATGGAAAATGGTATAATTTTTTTTTCAAAATTTCTCGTTTCTTAAATTAGTTGAAAGCAAGTGAAAAATGTTTCTCAAGATTTTTGCACAGAAGTGTTTAATAGTATACTATTTAATAAGTCATTAATACTATTAATTTTGTATATTAAGTGTAACAAAAAGAACGAAGATATATTCTTCAACCAAAATATGACAGCAATACGTTTTCAAAAGATGATTTGATGCTTGTTTGGTTTCGTAAATCCAGATTTTTGTTTATATATTCCTTTGTGCTTCGTGAAAATCTTTTCTGGCAACAAATTTATTAAACTTTTTTACTTTGTGCTGCTTGCGAAATTCTTGCAGGAGTTCTAGTATCAATATCATTTTTTTTTATTTGATTATTTTCTTGCTTTTATAAATCAGTGACTTTGCTAATTCGTTTGTTGCTTGTGGTAGACTTAAATTATAATTATTACTCATGAAATAGGGCCAGTACGCTCCCTACAATACACCTGTGATATATCGCAGTTACAAGATGTAAGATATAGCCTATCATTTTCAATGACGCAGGAATCCCCCATTTACATTAAATTAAGAGAAGCAACTAGAAAGTTGGTACTTAACTAAAACAATGCATAAAACAGTAAAGAATAAAATTAGTAATACTAAATCTCTCTATATCGATTTGTATTTTCAAAATGAGTGGACGAAAAAAGTATAAATAACAGTAAAGTTGCGTACCACAATTCAGCGCATTATTAAGAAATGAACCTCGACACAACGTTGAAATGAACGTGGCGTTTCAAATAGAAACGGACAAGTCGTGAATGTGTAACCAAACTTACTGATATAATAAAAGATTTTTAATGCAAAATGATAGCAAAGTGATAAAAGGCACTCGAAACAGCTGCAGTGATAATATATTAAATCAATTTTCTGGAAGTTTTGAAAACAGTCGAAGTTTTCAATGTTTTATTCTCAGACAAAATGGTATGTTGCATAGACGACTACACAATCACTACACATAGTCGTTAATGTAAAAACCGTGCAACCGTTTTTACATTAATAACCTCAAATTGTGACTTACGGTCACAACAACTTTTATTTAACAGGTTTTAAAATACAGTCCTTAAAATTAAAAACCTAACCTAGGAATAATATGAAAATACTTGACGAAATATGAAAAGATAAACCTTGAAATACATGGTATAAAAATATATTGTTATATTTCTGTTCTGTTTTTTTTTACAGATAATCGTGAATAAAAATAAAACATATCAGCGCCCTTAAGAAAATACGTTTTTATGGCGAGAAGAATTCGATAAGCGCGGTACACTTTTTCTGTAAGGATATCATTGCACAAACTAAAACATCGCATTGAATCTATATAGGGCACATGAAAATTACAAATCCTTATGCTGGAATCGCTTCGTATACTGTTTACTTTACATTTTGTCTTTACGAGCTCTAAAAACATGGGAAGACTGTAAATGAAAGAGGAGAGTAATTAAGGAATTAGGATCTTTACACTCCGAATTGTTAAATAAGTGACTGTTACTCGCGAGAAACACTTTCGAATGCATA